GCATGCGGTATCAAGGTACCACTGTGGTGGCTCACACATGTAATCCTAGCACTCAGGCAGGGTAAGAAATTATTCTGAGCTTTCCTTACAGTACCCTAAAGACACCCAGAAGAGAGTATGCCTAAGATTTCTTACAATAAGTGCCATTTAACATAATAAACTGTGTGTTAATGATATCAATAAAGTGGGGACAGTGCATAAAAAGACAACATTAAAAATATAACACCTTTTGACAAGTTACAGTACTTCATACACTTTTCATAGACATTTTTTTCTCTCACAGTAATCCCAGAGCATCTTATTAGAGGCAAAGATTCACTTTGTCACAATAGCACTGTTTGTATACTTCTGTACCTCACACAAGCAAAACAGAGTAAAAGCCTACAAAAATGAATCCAGTTATACAAATCTATGGTCTGACAACCTCACAACCATGACAGCTAGAAATGTTCTTCTGTCAGCATCCGTGACTGACAAAGGACTGATACAAAGTCAGGCCACATCAGGTGGCACACACCTATAACCCTAGCACTAAGTAAGACTGAGCCAGGAGAGTTGCTGCAAATTCCAGGCCAGTCTGAGTTACATATACATAGCAAGACTGTCTCAAACAAACAAAAAACCCAACTAAGACAAAGGGGTGCAGGGGAAGATAAGTCTACATTACACGCCAATATGATAAACATCATCTATTTGAAAGATCCTGAAATGTAGTATCTGAATGACTTATTTCCTGAAAAGACTTCACATTCATTAGGGGTTTATATTCAAGCCAGGAAGAGTGGTGAACACCTACAATCCTAGCACTTGGAAGGCTGAGACAGGTGAATCACTGAAGTTCAGGGCCAGCTTGGTCTACAAAGTTCCAGAACTATATGGTAAAACCTAGTCTCAAACAATAATAATGAAGTTCTTTCAAACTGTCAGCCTAATGTGGACATATATTACAAGAAAAATATAGATAGATAGACAGACAGACAGACAGACAGGCAGACAGATAGAAACAGCCTTTATTGGTTTTAAAATGAAATAGTTAAAAAAAAATCTAATGAGCTGGGTATGGTGACACACACCTTTAATCCCAGCACTGAAGAGGCAGAGGCAAGCAGATCTCAGGCCAGCCTGGTCTACAACTGTCCAGGACAGCCAAGGCTACATAGAGAAACCCTATCTCAAAAAACAAAAAAGAAAAAAGAAATCTAGATGAAGTAGGCCATGACAGCATATCCTGCAACCCCACCAATTAACAAGCAGAGGCACAAAGAACTGCTCAAGGACATCCTGTGCTACACAGTGAATTCAAGGCCAGCCTGGACCATAATCCTACTCATAAATGAATAATAAGTAAGTAAGCAAGTAGATAGATAAGATGGATGGATGGATGGATACTGGTGGTTAACTATCATCCCCCCCTTTTTGTTTGCTCCCGGTTCCACACCCCCAACCCAAGATAGGGCAGACAAAGCTGGTCCCGAGTGCTGGGATTAAAGGTATGCACCACCACCGCCTAGCATACTCTATTTTTTTTTTTAAATAAAGAGTTCAGACAGGATTCAAGCACTTTTTATGTTTCTACTTCAAAGTTCAGACCTTGCTTTACTAAATACTTCTCAGTATCTTTCTATACCTATTTTCTCTTCTGCAAATTTGGAATAAAAACTGTATTCAGAAGGGAAAAATATTAGCTATACTACCAAGTTCTCCTGAGGATTAAATTTAACTTAACACAAGTTAAAAATATTTAACAATGGGTTGGAGAGATGGTTCAGCAGCTAAAAGCACTTGTTCTTGTGGGGCTCAGTTTCTAGCACTACACAGTGTCTCACAACCATCTGTAGTTCCAGGAGATCCAAACCCTTTTCTGACATTCTTAGACACCAGGTACATGTCTGATGTACATACATTCATGCAGGCAAAATAATCATACATATTAAAAAACATATCCAGAGAAACCATGAGCACGTATACTTGTAACACACCTTTGAAAATATAAAAGTTACAACACCAGCTGTTCTGGGGCTCAAAAGAGTGCTATTTGGGACTAAAAATGTAGCTCAGCTGATAAGGTTTTCTAGCATGCAGGAAACACTGGCTTTGATTCCCAGAACCAAATACGTCTGGCAAGTGGGGAAGACGTCTGTATTCTAGCACTTGGAAAGTTGAGACAGAGAGATCACAAAATAATAATAATAATAATAATAATAATAAAATAAAAAAACTCAAGATCAACCTGGGAAACATTAGACCCTGTATCAATGTACGAAACAGAGATACCAAGATGGCTGAGGATATAGCGTTGCTCGCAGCACGAGCCTAACAACCAGAGTTGGATCCACAGAACCCAGTAAACATCGCAGAATAGAACCAACTCATGTCGTCATGACCTACACACTGGCGCTGTGGCATGTGCACCCCATGAACACCTCATACGCTCCCAATGTTTAGAAATTTTTTTTAAAATGTGACTGGGTAGATTATTCAACACCAGAGATGAAAGACTCAGTAAAGGACCACAAAGGTCTCTGCAACATCTACTTGGTGATCTGAAACAATAGATACAATGAACAGATATTGTATCCTTTCTTAACCAAAGACCCAAAAAAAAAAGAAAAGAAAAAAATCTAGAACCACATCCACCAAAGGGTAAAATTTTGTCATTTAGGTCAGGCATAAAAGTTAAGCAACTCTCTCTAGTTGTCTAATACCTTAGCTCAATTAACCATTATGACAAGAAAAATGTCAAAAATGGTTGCGTGCACTTCAAACAAAATAACGTTAATTCCCGCTCTGCAACTCTAGAGGGCACCAGAAATATGCCCTCCTTCACAAACACCCCTCCTCCCCGGTAACGTGAGCAGCTGCAGGAGCCCGTCGTCTGGTTGCTGAGGTTGGTATTGCAGCAGCAGAAGCGATGTCTGCAGCGGTGGAAACAGCAGCGCCCACTCCCAGCTGCCTCACCAGGCATCACTAGGCTTCTCGGCGAGAGCAGCTGCCACCAAGGAGGAGGCCCCTCCCCCTTAAAACAACCAGGAGGACCAGGTCCCATAACTGAACCCCTATAACCTGGCGAGGTCCTCTGTATTAAGCAACAAATTAGAAGCGAAAGACTCACAATGGTGTTTTCCTCACTTTCTGTCAAAGACGCACGAGACAGGATTGAACGAAATTTCTGGTCCTGGGATAGGAGAGGGGGGGAAAAAAAGAAAAGAAAAATGGATGAACACCCAATCTGGTAGGAGCACCAAACCTATTTCACCAGGAGGAGGCAGAGAAGGGACTAAGAGGTCAAGGAGGTTCGATCCTTCTATTATTACCCCCAGCCCACGCAGAAGGGCCCACTCCTATTCAAGTGGACTGAAATATTTATCTGGGGCCAAACCTAAGTGAAAGCCACAATCTGCAGGGGGAAGAAACCTGAGGGCATCAAGCCTGCTCCTGGGAAGGGGGGGAAGGGCAAACCTTGCCCCGACGCCAGCAAGGGACTTGCACTCCCTCTCAAATCTTACCACCCACAGTCATCCTAGCCAAACCCAGCACCAATTTACAGGTAAGAGACGGTTCAGGTCAGCGCCGGGCTGATATTGCCCATATTTGCCCCAAGCAGTTGCCCTGGGCCCGAGGTTTGCCCCCCCTGCAGTCCGCGACCGGCAGCGCTGCCTCCCCGTCCGCCATTAGAGACCCAGCCAAACAATACGTGAGGAGCAAGAGCCGCGCAGCACAGCGCCGGGGAGGAGACCAGCGACGAGCGGGGCCAGCGAGGCTCAGGCGGCGCCCCTCGCCTCCCAAAACTTGGGGTCTCGGCCGGGCGGACACGGTGGGAGTGGGCCCGGGCGGGAGGGCCAACGGGCCCCTCCCCGGCCCGCCCGCAGCACAGAAAGGAAAACACCCCTCGACCTCCGGCCGCCGCCGCCGGCGACCCGAGGGCCCCGCGACCCCCGCCCCGGCGTCCGCCTCACCCAGCCCGCCCGGCCGCGGCCGCGCCCGCGCTCCCTCAGCTCGGGCCGCACGCGAAGCCGCCCGGGACCTGAGCGCGGCCCCCGGCGCACCCCGAGGCCCCGACGCAGCGGCGGCGACGCCGGCAGCCGCGGGCTGCGAAGCCCGGCTCGGTGGGAGGCTCCCGAGGCGGCCCTCACCCATCTCCGCCTCCCCCGTCGCCCCCGCCTCCGCCTCCTCCTCCCGAGGCTGCGCTGCTCCCAGCCACCCCCACTCCCCGCGGCCCTCGACAGGAACGACAGCGGGCAGGAGCCTCACCCGGTCCTGGCTGTAGCTCCGCGGAACGAACCTCCCCTCCCCCGGCCCACCCCCCTCCGGCGACACGCACAACTCCGCTCGGTCCAGTCCCGGCTTTAGCGCTGGTGAGGAGGAGGTGGAGGAGGCGGCGGCGCGGCGGAGCCCCGGGAGGCCCCGCCCTCCGCGCGCTCATTGGCTGCCGGCGAAGGCGGCCCGGAACGCCTCGGGCACGTCCATTGGCTCGGGCGGCCTTCGCTCACGAGCCGCCCCGCCGAAGTCGTCGGAGCGCCTGTCCGTCAGGAGCGGGCCACGCCCTCGGGCCTGCCGTCCCTCCCCCCGCCGTCAGCCCCGGGCTTAGCCGGCTCTCCCTGCCTCCCTCCCTCCTTCCCTCCCTCCCTCCCTCCTTCCCTCCTTCCCTCCCTCCCTCTCTCCCTCCCTCCCTCCCTCCCTCCGTCCCTCCCTCCGTGCCCCCGCCCCGCCCCGCCCCCACTCTCCGCCGGGTCCGCCGGGGTCAGGAGCCCGAGCGGTGCGGCCCGCAGTTCGGGTCGCGCTTCGGCCTCGGGGCGGGGGCTCCTCGTCGAGGCTCCGCGCGGTCCGGCCGCCCCGCCCGGGCCTCTAGACGGCCGCCGTGGCCCCCGGCGACCCGGCCCGCGCAGAGACGCGGCCTCGAGGCCCCGGCGTCCTCCCTGTCCGGGCCGCCGCGGCCCCGGCGACGGCCCCGCAGGCTCCCCCGCCGCGCCTCGCCCGAGGGACCGGTCCCCACCTCCGCCATGGCTGCGGCTGGAGGAGCCGTCGTCCTCCATCTTGTGGGCTCTGCCGGGAGGACTTGGGGCCCCTCCGGGCCGAGCCCCGCGGGGCGGGAACCCGGCCCGGCCCGCGCTCCGCCGTCGGCCTCCGCC